GGAGAACGAAGAACGAAGAAAATCTTCGAAGATGGCGCAGCGATGACCGGGCAAGGGAAAGAAAAACGCCAAGCTAACGACTGGCGAACGTTTAACGAAAAGAGCATTAAACAGGCAAAAACAGGCCTATTTATACAAAACCTGTGTGAAACAGAACACCAGGGGGAATACGAGCGCACGGGAATTTTTATCCTTGAATCCCGAAGAAATTTGGGGCGTTTGTACGAGATGGCCCCAGTGAGAATAGTAATGAACTCACATGCATTAGGTAAATGCTATGAAAATCCACAATGGAAAACTGTGAATAGTTGGACCAGTGGAATTTGTGCGTGCAACTAATTTTATTGTAAAATTTGCTACCATCGGAGATCTACACGTACATATTTTTAATTTTATGTTTCAATGTCTGTGCAGTGCTACACGCACACTGGTATTTACCGTGTGTCCATTGAAACTTGCTCCTCTTGTTCCAAATTTTAGTATAATGGACGGCGTTTTTAACATTTTATTTCTCTTTACCTGAGTGAGGCCGATAAGCAAGTACATAGAAAGTTTTGCATTACTAGGCTCCATTTTAACTTCAACGTCATTCTAAAACAAGCTTAAAACATGAATTTTGCCTTTTTTTAGTTCTTGTTCTTGGTTTATCTGTTATTTGAAAGGTACCTAGGCGAATCTTTACAACTTACTTTAAATACTGCTTGTCTTTGCATCACCAATGACCGGTTTATAATTATTTAAATTGAATATGTCCTGGAAAACAGTTATTTAGTGTTAATGCTGCTGGACATCTACTCATAGAACCGATATGAGTTGTTCTGGGTAAGAAGTGACAAATTCAAATACTATTTTGCCAGTCCCAAATCCAGGAAGCCGTAATTATCTTTCATTGTCGTATGGTCTTTTGACAGAAATGCAGAATGCGATGTTGTATTTTCTGTTATCTAGTTTACGTTTAATAGGTTTTTTTCCATTTCAAGTTATAATTCTTCTGTTATCTTTAAATATTTTCTAGTATTTCACACTTTCGTATAGTCAAAGTAATTTTACCGTTTGTTCTGTTCTGTTTATTTTTGTTTTGTTTTTTTCTCTTTATAAAATGCTCTTTTAATACGTAATTATTGTCATTAAAAGCTCCGCCGTTGGTGGCGGTTCCAATTGTTGTCATCTCTTTCATAAAATTTACAAACATCTGTTCGGGAACGTAATAGGTAGAAAGCACTAAGGCACATGTATACATTTCATTTAAACTTTTCCACTGTGGTGTTTACCATTTTAACCACGGTTATGAAATTAAAAAACATGTTGTAGTTAAATTTGGCATCAGGAGTGACATTTCGAAATTGTTATACGTAGTTTCACGGGCAGTTAGGCGAGCGAAATTTGGGACAATTTTAATGTATCACGAGTGGTATTTATGCCAAATATCACGTACAAATCATGATATGATTTGTTCCCCCAAAGGGTTTGTAATTTTAAAATGTGGGTATCTCAAATTAAGCTGAAATACCACTGTTCTACGCCAATCAAATTGCAGAAATTTCTCATGTAGTAGTATAAATCTTGAATAGGTGGAAAACTGAAATATATTTCTTAAATACAATCATTTTCCCGTACTTTTTATAACTGAAAATTTATTAAAGTTAAAGTTAAAGTTTTCTATATTTTTCTTTATATATTTTTTATATTTTTCTTTTTTTTTTCTTTATCCAGGTACTGAGAAGATGGCACTTGACTTTGAAGAGAGGTTCGAGGTAAGAAGCCCATTATTCAATATTTTTATCCATTTTTATTAGTTGCTTACAACGCAGGGCGCAGAAGAGTTAATTGTGACCTTGATTATTGATGGTAGTTAAATTTTACAGTTGATACCCTGATACCGGGCATCGCCTTTGTTCAGTTCAATACTGTTGATTCGAGCAAATCGTCACTTCAAGCTTATAAACCCGGTGAAGATATTACCATTCCCACTCAGCGCTGGATAATATTTATTAGGTTTGCACAACACGAACGCATCGGACGGTCTGATAGGCCAAGTTCGTATTCCATTCCTCAGTAGTCCTCTTCTGCGCCTGAGCTGTAAAAAATATTCCCCAGATTGAACTTCGTCGGCATGTACTGCTAATACAGTAACGAATATGAAACAAATGCACCGAATGGTTAAGTCCAAAACGAAAAAACGACTAAAACACTGAACCACGGAAAACCTTTGAAACTAGCTAGGGGCCGACCGCGAGACAAACAAATCAATAATCAATTCCTGTTGCTCATGGCAACTGTGGCGTATGCAATAATTGAGGGTCATGGACTGTGTTTGCAGGTCTGTGAGTTAAAAATTCGTCAACCAGTACTCCCTGTAGACAATCAATGCGATAAATTTGTTTGAGTTAGCTGCACGTGTGTTATAAATTCCCTCACTTTCTCCGAGACATATTATCCTATATTTTGGCTTAAAAGTGACTACCTGATGTAATCAAAAAGCAAAGAGAAGAACTTTGTAAAAAGTTCGAAGTATTTTTATTTGTTTGACTGTCCAGACGCTTCTCTTTCACGATTCGTCCTTAGAGCATAGAAATGGGTTATGGAGAAATAATCTTCGTGAAGGTCTAAAAATTTATACCCCCGGACAAAAAATCTCATGGCACATTTTTCTAGCCTCCGCTCTCCGGCTCGCTCCTCGCAGCTAGGGAAGTTTCGCGTCAGAGATACGAAAAGCTATTCTTAGACTGTATACGGACATGGTCTAAAAAGAACCTGCAACAAACGGACAAAATAATTTTTGTATTTTGGCCTTAATTGTAAAAATAAGCTTGAACTGAAACAAATAATTTGTGTTTAAAAGTATTTTAAAAATGTGCCAGCTGAACTAATAATGATTTCTTTTGGTCAAATTACTTTAGAGGTTCATGGAAGATATAGAGAGAAGGCTAACAAATATTGAAGCGTTAAAATTGGTGAGTGTTATATTTTAACGTTAGTGCACATTATTAAAAACACAGGTGTGTTCATTTAATAAATAACGATAATTATAAAACAAATGATGACAATGACAATAGCATTTAGACAGCCATATATCGCCCCATATAAGGGAATCCAAGACCAACACAGTCTTGGATTCTGGATTGCAAGCCACGCATTCCGAATTCCAGGTACTGGTTTCCGGTCTTTGTCAGTAGAACTTCTATCGTTGGTGGGATTCCGGATTTCTTGAGGTGTACTTCAGATTCCAAAGCCTAGGATTCCAGATTCTACAAGTAAAAATTTCCCGGATGCTGTATTCCCTTGCATGGGGCGACATACATCCGCACAGGTATGCGTACTAGTCAATCAGTTTAAAGAAAGAAAGTTTATTGCGATCGACAAGAGGAGCCCGCAATCCTAATCACCAGGGTGTTATTACGCATGCGTCGTATGTATGTAGCCAGCGTTTGTTTCGACTTCCACTAAGAATTAGCCTGTTCCAAGCGTTTGGATAGTGGAGAGCGGTGCGAAGTAAAGAAAGCGATGAAAAGTAGAGGAGGACTGGGGAGAGAGGTGCGGGAACGCTTGTAAGAATTTTTAACAAATGTGCGTTCCGTCCGGTATGCTAGATCCTAGTATACCCTCTGATTGGTTGATTCTGACAGTTTTTGTCAACAGTTGAGCATCTTCCATCACAGAGAGAAATGCGATATGGTGGTGATGTCCCATCACGCAGAATTCGAACTCGCAACAAACACAGCGCTGAGTGACTTTCCAAACATGGAGGCTAAACGCGAAGAGCAAAGAAGCTGTTTAAGTGATATTGTCAGAGAAAACCGGGCAGGAGCAAAAGATCGAGGTCGGCGTTTGACCTCCACCTTTTAACCATATAAAAGCCACCTGAAAAGATTATCAGCGGTGGTATTTTCAGAAGTTGGGGGGTTTTTTGTTTGAAGATAAAAATTTTCTTGAAATCAGGGCCTTCCGTGGCATGAAATATCTTGATTTTCGCCCATCTTTTGTCGAACCTATATGAATTAACATGAAGCGAGAAAAAATTGCTTTTCTCTTTTTGAAATCTTTAGCCTATAACAAACCGATTGATATATAATTTCCAATATTTGCTCCAGTTCCATGTTTTTCATGTGGCACTTAATATTAGCGCCAAGTCGTTAATTAACCAGACCCAGATTTCTGCCTTTTTTACACTGTTTTTTCTCTAAAGTGCGCGGTTTATTTTTAAAGAAAGTTACTTTTCTTGACAGCCTATTAAACCTTTACTAAAATACAGGAAACTTAAAAATGGTATCTCTCAGTGACTCGGAATTACTGACTTGGAAAGTTCCACGAAAATAGCGTGAAGCAAAAAGTTTCCCGCCAAATTTTCAGCAACGAATTTTTTTCCATCATCTTCTCTCAGCATTGAGCTCACATCCCCAGCAAGGCGTTCAAGAAGGAGATCAGGTTTAATCTCTTTCACTTGTTAGTGGCTATTAGATTTTAATCTTGATAAGGTAGATGCGTTTAATTCAATAAAATCAGATTTCAATTGATGATATAAATTGACCCAACTTTCCCGCGAAATTCTTTGTTGTGTCACGCTACATCGAACCCCTGTGAACTTATTCGACGTTTATACTTTGTCCATCTTTGCTGAACAGTGCAATTAGTAAAATTATAAGAAGAAAGAGGTCAAACTGTGTTTAATTGGCGATGTCTATGGAAAAAAACGGTTGTTTACATAATACCATGATAAGATCAGGGTGTTTTCATCTGCATGTAGGATTGATTTATTTAGTCTCGTAAGCCTTCCGACGAAAAAGTGTCTGCTTTACTGGATAACGGTCAGCTTAAATCTGTAATCATGAATTGTTCGTTTTCAACGGAAGCATCTTCGTGTTCTGAGAGTGGAGTTGGATCTGCCATTCTCCCGCTGTTGGCGTGCAAACGAGATATGACCTCGCACCTCGTAAATCTTGGAATTAGTGGAAAGCGTGGTCGAGGAGAGGCAGAAGTCAGCGAATCGGAACTGATTCTAA